TTTCAAAATTGAAGTTATCATATGACAAATATTCAGTGGACAAAGTTTGAACAAAAATCTATTGTCACTTTTATTTCAGAGGAATTACCTTAAATGATACCCAAAACTCCATCTGACTCCCCTTCTTGATAATACATATTCCTCCCCTCCCCCCCCCCCCGAGAAAAAGAGAACAGCCTACCAAAATTAATAAAAAACCAGTTTTGTTTTCAACAATGGAATTATCCAATTGATTGCTTATATAGTAAATGTCCAATGTACAATGTGTAGTTTCAGAAAATATCTATACTTCTCCCACAGAAGGGATTTTTTTCTAAGACACTCCCACACCCCTTTGGAAATTGCAATTAAACTTCCCACATTTCTTCACATTTTTGGTCTTACAGACCCCCACCCCACCCCACAGACATATACACGTGCACAAAAACTATCACGCTGGCTTGAAATATTTGAAATCAAAAACAAAATTTAACTACAGCAACAACTTAGCCATAATGTATGACAAGTTCTTAACAGACCTTGATGTATATGAATGCATCATACAGCCATGAGGTTGCCAAAAGCTTCCCCTCCATCGACCAGACTGAAACATTCCAGGGCAAGTACTAGATCCTGTTTGCAAAAGATCAAATGTTGAGAATTTTTATCTTTTTGTTAAAAGCATAAAAATCAAACAGCACCTCATGAAAATACTCCTTACTGCATATTAATTCTCAAACGTTTGCAAGAACCTAAAACTTTAGAAATAGTGTAATTACTGGGTCATGAGAATATACAATGCCTAACTCATCATCATCCTCAACTTCATCATCATCATCATCATCATCATCATCATTTATTTGCCACACAAATACTTATTTGCCACATAAATACCACTTCCACTGCTACTGACACTGAAATCCAAAATAACATGTACATGACAGCTTGCAGGGCCATCATATATTAGGTTTTGATACATCTGTAGTTTTGATTTTCACATCCATAACAAACTTGTTACTTTATGGGTGAATCAACTACAGGCAAGTTCACTTGTAACATCAAGGGCCCATCAAACACGCTTAGCCGTAACTGGTGCTCTGTGTTATGGCCCTTATTGACAGCCCTGTGAAGACATGGCAACCTAAAGGTGCAGTTACAATTGTAATGGTTTAACCATGTTAGAATCTGAATTGAGCAATCCAGGTTCAACACTAGGCTGGGTAACTTTGCTGTGTTCTTGGGGAGGATACTTAACTGTCATAGTGTCTCATATTCCAAGAGTATAAATGGGTAGTGACTGACAAACTATCAAGACAACATGACAAAATGTTGATGCCGAGGGGTATATAGCTCACAATGGACTAGCATCCCATCATGGGGAAGTGGCAAAGCTGCCAGTTACATCATTTTACAAAAATCAATCAGTGTGCAATCCCTTTGACCCAAGTGCAGTCTAATACTTCACCTTAGCTTTGAGCAAGCTAAGAAAAGGCCTGTCAACTTTTTTTTTTTCTTTTTTTTCAATGGACCGGGGAGATGAGCAGTTCAACAAAACTGAAATATTTATTCTCCGGTTGCATCAGTGAACAGATCACTTCGCATGACCAGGAAATAAAATGAAAATACTGGAAAATAAAAGCCACCGACAATGTAACTAGTGGAGCCTTAAAGTGCCTATGAAGTAAAAAATAATTGCTGCTGATTTGAAAGGCTTTTCAAAGTAAAGACGGATGGCGTTTTCCTTTTTGGAATATCTTTTTTCGTTTTAGAGATATTCATGTTTTTGTATTATAAGTGATGACGTCATAGGTGGTTCCACTAAAACAG